ATTTAACATAATCATCATAATTAAAAATCTCTATTGTTTTTTGAATTGATTCTACAATTATTATAATTAAAAATATAATTATAAAGAGTGGTGAACTTGACCGTCTGAAACTCGTTTTTTGATGTCTGGATTGATTTTAATAGAAGAATCACATTACCAAGATGGTTGTCTCCTAAACATCAAAATTATTTAACAGACATTTAAAAAAGTCTCTGCGGGCATTTTTTTTCCTGCGGACATTGGTTTGGTCACTAAATGGTAACTTTTTAATATAAGCATAAAGAAAATTTATTGGCTTAGTACATACATTGACTATCTTGTAACCTGATGCTACAAGTTAGTGCTGCTTCATCCGTTATCTTATACCCGCGGGCTACAAAAGAGTGTTGCTACATCGTCTATCTTATAGCCTGCTTTTACAAGGAATTGCTGCTACATTGGCTGAGGATTTAGCTTAGGGCAGCAATCTTTTTTCTTTTATTATTTCAATTAAAATTTCTAATGTTAAAAAACTCTCCACTAACGAGAGCGCAACAAGCGAAAAATTAAAATTAATTTAGAGTGCTAAACTGTAGCTTTACCTAAAATTCTATTTGTTAAGAATTTTGTATTTTTAACATTGTATTTGTTAAGAATTTTGTATTTTTTTACCTAGGTTTACCCATAGTTCAATGCCCTGAAGGACAATGATTTTTTGAGTTAATTAACACAGTTTGTGTCACATGTCTTACATAAATAAAATAAAAATAAATTCAGGCATTTCGGCAGGAAATATTATAATTTCAGCCGGAACCGGAATATCCTAAAAGTCACAAAATCCGGCTAGAAAGGAATTTTGGTACATCCTTAATTATAACAGCTATTTAATTACATCTGTTACTTTTTAATCTTTCTTAAATCATTATTGTATTCTTTATAAATTATTAATAAAAAAGTTTGATACTTCCTTTGCGTTTTTTGGTAATTATATATATATATATATATATATATATATATATATATATATATATATATATATATATATATATATATATATATATAAAGAAAGTGTAATTAAATAGAAAAATACAACTTTATAATGGAACTAAAAGTTTCATGCCTATCGGCAATCTTCAGCCATATATATTATACAAATCAAGAAAAAACCGTTAAAAAATACAAAATACAAAAAAAGCAGTAGAATGAGTTCCGACGTCAAAACAAAACGAATAAAAACGAATAAAAAACCGAATAAAAAAGAAGCATAGTTGTAAAACTGCTAATCACCAGTGTCAAATTGGGCAAGAAGAAATTTGTTTTTATGCCGGCACTTAGATAATATTTCACTCTTTTTATTTAACAAATTTGGGTGTTTAAAAAATAAAATTTCGTACTTTTCGTTTAAGCATAAGTTACATCGTTTTGTTACAGGGTTATAGGCATCGCACTGTTTAATTATTTTCCACCTAACAACCGGGTTTAAGTTTTCATCTTTTAATCTCCAAACCTCCTTTGATAATTCAGTGTCATTTTTGTATTTGGGAATTTTAAAAGATTTAATGTGGTTAGCATATCTAATTTTAAAAGATGTTTCGCTTATGCCAATGTAAAATTTATTGATGGGAGATTGAACAAGATTGTTTGAGCATACATTAACTTGATATACTATATTTTTTGTTAAGCATTGGTTTGATAAAGGGCAGGTGTTTTTATCTATGCAATTGCAATTATTTTCAGCTGATTCTTTCTTGTTGTTTATGACATGGTGATTGTGGGCGTTTAAAACGGATTTCATATTAGGCATACAGCTATAACTTACTTTTAATGTGTTTCTGTTAAAAATTTTGTGCAACTTGTGATTTTTAGGGAAGTGCTTATCAATTAATGTTAAAAATATTTTTCCTATATTCGTGCTGACGTTTTTGCTAAAAGGCGGGTTGAACCAAATGATGTTACGTTTACGGTTCTTAGTGTGAGATAATCTTAAGTTAGGTTGGTAAGAAAGATTGTAATTAAAACCGGACTTTTTTAATGCTTCATTATACATTGGAGTGGATTTTTGAAAGATTTCCTCGCTTGACGAATTTGCTGATAATCTTAATTCAATAGAATGTGGGAGTTGCTTTAAAATACTGGATGGGTGGTTTGATTCAGCATGAATGTAATTTAAAGAGTTTCCGGGTTTAGAGTAAGGTTGGTAGGTGTGGTTGTTGAGGTTTAATGTAATGTCCAGATAATTTACGATTTTTATGTTGCACTGTGTTGATATCAGAAGATCGTTCGATTTAAATATTTTAACAACATGTTTTTTAATTTTTCCATATGGGGACCACTGATGTTTTTAAAAATCGCCAAACCATCATCACGGTATAACCCGAAATCATTCTTATTGTAAAACTGTGTAATCTGAAATAAAAGAAAAATCCCCACAAGTTCACACACTTCGGCGCCATCAAATGCTCCCATCGAAACATCGAATAATCCGCTTGACTTCTTAATCCAAACTTGATTGCTATCAAACAACAGTGACTTTCTGGCGTGGTAAATAATCGATTTTTGCTCAGGATCTATAATCATACGCTGCTCAGCAAAACTAATAGCATTTTTAAGTAGTTTTTCACTTATTGAGGGATAAAAATCAACGATATCAAAAATGAGAAACTTATAAAGGTTTGGATCACTGATCAACTTGAACCAGCATATTACATCTTGTGTTTTTTTCCACTGATTGAGATGGAGTCTTTTTACAAGTTCAGAATTTATGTTTGAAAGAATAACTTTACTAATTCTGCCAATTTCATTTTTGGCAGGGTTTATTAATCGAACTGTTGGATTGTTTGCAAAATTTTCTTTGTGGTCTTTTAATGTTATAAAGTAGTTAGATGATGTGTTGATATCGATTTTATTAAAAATTTCATGATTCTGTAAAATGCGTTTACCTTCTTTATTTATATCATTTTTTAATTTAGGATTCGATTTTTTGTAAGTTGAAGTTACGGCATTGGTTAATAAATGATTGTAGTCTTGTTTAGATAAGTTATATAAATTAGATGTTTTATCTGCAAACCTTTATAAGTTTCTCATTTTTGATATCGTTGATTTTTATCCCTCAATAAGTGAAAAACTACTTAAAAATGCTATTAGTTTTGCTGAGCAGCGTATGATTATAGATCCTGAGCAAAAATCGATTATTTACCACGCCAGAAAGTCACTGTTGTTTGATAGCAATCAAGTTTGGATTAAGAAGTCAAGCGGATTATTCGATGTTTCGATGGGAGCATTTGATGGCGCCGAAGTGTGTGAACTTGTGGGGATTTTTCTTTTATTTCAGATTACACAGTTTTACAATAAGAATGATTTCGGGTTATACCGTGATGATGGTTTGGCGATTTTTAAAAACATCAGTGGTCCCCATATGGAAAAATTAAAAAACATGTTGTTAAAATATTTAAATCGAACGATCTTCTGATATCAACACAGTGCAACATAAAAATCGTAAATTATCTGGACATTACATTAAACCTCAACAACCACACCTACCAACCTTACTCTAAACCCAGAAACTCTTTAAATTACATTCATGCTGAATCAAACCACCCATCCAGTATTTTAAAGCAACTCCCACATTCTATTGAATTAAGATTATCAGCAAATTCGTCAAGCGAGGAAATCTTTCAAAAATCCACTCCAATGTATAATGAAGCATTAAAAAAGTCCGGTTTTAATTACAATCTTTCTTACCAACCTAACTTAAGATTATCTCACACTAAGAACCGTAAACGTAACATCATTTGGTTCAACCCGCCTTTTAGCAAAAACGTCAGCACGAATATAGGAAAAATATTTTTAACATTAATTGATAAGCACTTCCCTAAAAATCACAAGTTGCACAAAATTTTTAACAGAAACACATTAAAAGTAAGTTATAGCTGTATGCCTAATATGAAATCCGTTTTAAACGCCCACAATCACCATGTCATAAACAACAAGAAAGAATCAGCTGAAAATAATTGCAATTGCATAGATAAAAACACCTGCCCTTTATCAAACCAATGCTTAACAAAAAATATAGTATATCAAGTTAATGTATGCTCAAACAATCTTGTTCAATCTCCCATCAATAAATTTTACATTGGCATAAGCGAAACATCTTTTAAAATTAGATATGCTAACCACATTAAATCTTTTAAAATTCCCAAATACAAAAATGACACTGAATTATCAAAGGAGGTTTGGAGATTAAAAGATGAAAACTTAAACCCGGTTGTTAGGTGGAAAATAATTAAACAGTGCGATGCCTATAACCCTGTAACAAAACGATGTAACTTATGCTTAAACGAAAAGTACGAAATTTTATTTTTTAAACACCCAAATTTGTTAAATAAAAAGAGTGAAATATTATCTAAGTGCCGGCATAAAAACAAATTTCTTCTTGCCCAATTTGACACTGGTGATTAGCAGTTTTACAACTATGCTTCTTTTTTATTCGGTTTTTTATTCGTTTTTATTCGTTTTGTTTTGACGTCGGAACTCATTCTACTGCTTTTTTTGTATTTTGTATTTTTTAACGGTTTTTTCTTGATTTGTATAATATATATGGCTGAAGATTGCCGATAGGCATGAAAATTTTAGTTCCATTATAAAGTTGTATTTTTCTATTTAATTACACTTTCTTTATATATATATTGATCTATTTTGTAAAAATTATTTTTACATTATATTGATCACTCTCAAGTAAACAAGAGGATTTGTATCTCAACCAGATACAATAATAAACAACAATATATATATATATATATATATATATATATATATATATATATATATATATATATATATATATATATATATACCTCGAAATTAGGTAACTAATTCCTTACCTGAAGTGTTAAAGGTTGGCAAAAAAAAAAATGAGGTCGGCAAATTAGAGGTACCGACCTTATTTTTCCTATTTCCGGGGGTTGACTTTTTGATTATTTTATTTTATTCTCAATATTTATTGGAGCTTTTTTATTTCTTAGATTTTTTCATTTACAACATTGTTCTTCAGCATTTTAGTGTTTTTGCTTCCAACGATGGCCAAGATAAAAAACAAGTAAGATAATATTGACTTTGTGTGCATCTGCACCTGTTGTGTTACTGTATTATTAATGAATTTTTCTTTAATTAAATAACGTATCACTACATTTCACTACAATATAATGTTATATTGTAACGCCAATTTACATAAAAAAAACAAGCCTGTCCATCAATTAAATTTTTTTTTTATATTCATTAGATTTAAAATTTGTTTCTATCCTAGAATCGGTGTTCTAATGTTAATAATGAAATTTTAATTTTAACATAATTATAGTACATAAAACAATGTTGTTGCGGTTTAGTGGTAGAAAATAATCTACCATTGCACCACTAGAAAATGTATGTACTATTGCTCTCACAGCTCTCTTTCTTTATATATGTATATATATGTATATATATGTATATCTTCCTATGTATTTATATCTTAACACTATGTGTTATAAAATATATTTTATAAAATTTTTTCTACTTATTATTCTAAAAAAACTGTGTTTGATGTATCATGATTTGTCGTTTAATATATCATTTTAGAATAGGATTGTGGATATCATTGTGGATCACTCAATGTTTAATGAGAACATTATATAGCACAGGAATTTTATGTGTAAATATATTTATAAATAATTCAGTTGAGTCTGAACAACTTGGAGTGGCAAATGGAATTGGTTCGTCAGTGGCTTCAATTGGAAGGTAACAGTTTTTTTATTTTCAAAATATTATAATCTCCAACGTAAGTTACAGTTTAAATGCCTCTTAATGTCAGAAAGTTAGTGGGTCATTTGTAAAAGAGAACTTTTTACAATCAAGTTATAATGGTTTTTATTTCATAATAGGTGTGTAATTATGCTTAAGGCTTTCAAAAAAAAAAAGTTTTTTAAGTTATTTTTCTGAAAAATATTTTTCATAGATGGATTGTATTGTAGTTGTCTTAAAAACATCCTTTTTAAGATAACTAAAGTAACTGATGAACTTGTTTAAGTACATAATTTTTTTAAAATCGACATTAATGCAGAAAGATTTCTTCGGGAAGATAATCTTACTAAAGCTTTAATTGTAAAAATAAATATTTGAAAGATTCAAAGATAATATTTAAAAGATTCAAAAATAATATTAGAAAGATTCAAAGATAATATTTAAAAGATTCAAAAATAAATATTTAACATATCCAAAGATAATATTTAAAAGATTCAAAGATAAATGTTTAAAAGATTTAAAGATAATATTTAAAAGATTCAAAAATAATATTTAAAAGATTCAAAGATAAATATTTAAATTTACAATGCAGATATAAAAGGACATAAGTATTTATTTACTAATATATTAACAGATATTAAAAGTAAAAAATAATACTATAAAATAAAACAATTTTTTGCTCTAGCCAATATAATGCAGAAAATCATTTTATTGAAAACTAATAAATATAAATTACGCCATGTTCTACAAAAACCTTTTTTTAAAAATAAAAAATAATTTTTATAGATTTTTTAATTTATTTTTAGATCGATTGGTTCAGTAGTTTTTGGGCTAGCTTTTTCATGGTCGTTGGATAACGTTAAAAAGCGTTTAGCTATGGAGACTAGCCTTGGTTTTCCATTCAACGAATATTTTACATTTATTCTTATATCAGTTTCTTCAATGTTTGTAATGCTTGCAGCTTTTTTTCTTCCTCAAAGTATTAACCATAAAAAAACATTACGTAAAGCAGAAGAAAACAAATAAAATTTATTGATTCCTCTAGTATGACGTATGTTTTTCATAGAAGTATTGGACGTGAATAAATTGACGTATGTGTACGACTACAATATTATAAAACATATAATCTAAATTAGGCATGAAAATCATAAATACTTATGTTCAAAATAAGATTACAATTTTGAGATCTTTATTAAAAATTCTACTTTGCTTTTACTATAATTTCGACTTTGACTTATTTTTTTAAAGAATGCAAAATTTTTGAAACAGATGAATATATTAAAAGTATACACTAAAAACAGTTAAAGTATATTTAAGTATATTTATATAATACCATATATAACCATTTTAGTAAAATGTGCAAAATATTTTTTATATTATGTGTGAATTATGCAACGACGATGCAAGATGTGCTGATAGTTATTTTATATTTTTGAGACAAATTAATAGCTTATGTGTTTATATTTATTATATAACATTTGATATTCATTGATAGACTTTATTTATGTATTTTTGTTTGTCAATTTCAAAACAGATAAAAATAAACTCATTGCTAAATCAGTTGTGTCAAATGGTGTTTTGACAAAAAAATAAAAAAACGTGTTAACTAGCTACAGGATTGCCACCAAATCAGAGAAATCAGGGAAATTTAGCGAAATTTAAATACAATCAGGGGGAATGATTGATTTAGGAAAAAATCAGCAAACTTTTTAATTTTTCTTTACTGTTTTTAAACGTTTTCTAATAAATATCTTTTTTTTCCAGGATACCAGGATTAATGTTTACATTTTTAAAGTAAATAATTACATTGTGTTTACATTTGCACTTTTTTTAGAATAGTACAAATTTTTAAAACTTAAAATAGCAACGTTTTTTTTTTAATTTGTTGTTTAGGTGCCCCAAGATGTCCTAACGGTCTTGTCACAGAACACCGTGGAAGTGCATTTAACCACGAAGTTTACGCCTCCTTCCTAACCGTGACGCGAAATATGTTCAAAGCTCGTTTCGAAACTGGATCTCCTGCTTATAAAGCAAGCACTCTGACCATTGCGCCACGGCCGCACATATTTTGTATTTCAAAAAGGAATGGTTAAGTGATCTTTTAATTGAAAAATGGCTGGCAATAGGCGGTGATAAAAAGTCAGCCAAGTGCAAAATATATTTTAAAAAAGTATCTATTCACCCATATCAGAATGAATAAGAATGAAAAATTACAAAGAGCTTGATCTTAAAAAAAAATAAACTAAATCAAGAGCTAAATTTAAAAGGCCAGTTAAATAATCGATTCGGAATCAGAAATAATGAAGTCAAAAAAATCAGAACAAATTAGTCAAAAAATAAACCAAAAGGATAAAAATAATTTAAATCAACATATGAAATCCAATGATAATATTTCTGTTTGCCAACCATATTTTTTTAACATTAAAACAATACTTGCTGATTCAAATATTAATAATAAAGAAGTTCATTTGAGTAGAAATTTTTTAAACTGATTTTATACAAATGCCACATCACTAAATAATAAATTTGATGAGTTAACTGAAGAAATAGCTTATAATCAGATGCAAATTATTATGCTTTGTGAAACCTGGTGGAATGATAAATCAACAACAAATATTGAAGGTTTTAACTTGTTTAGAAAAGATTGTGGACATATTAGAGTCTGTATATACATAAAAAAATAATATTTTACCCTGTTACTGAAAACTGTTGAGTTTTGCCATTTGAACAATTGAGTTACCATTGCCATTGCCATTGCCAACAAGAGAGTTGCCATTGAACAAATATGGTGTTTAGTTGAGATTGACATGAAAAATACCTTATGTGGATGCATATATAGAACAGGTGCTGGTGATATATCAAGTTGCCAGAAAATAACTAAATCTATTTGACAAGCTTATAAAACTTGGAAAAATGGTAAATACACAGGAATTCTAGTTTGTGGAGATTTCAATTTTTCAAATATAAAATGGTTCAACCATGGTTCATGTAAACTTAAAAATGATTTAGATTTGACCGCTTTAAAATTTTTAGAATTTCTAAATGATTGCTTCTCATTTCGAAATGTCTTGTTGCCAACATATCAAGTCAGATTTGGGTCTGACACAAGTTTATTAGACTTGGTCCTAACAGAAAATAAGAAGTTGAAAGAGATTTAGGTGTAGTATTATCAAAAATAATGTCAGTAATTATAATGTAAGTAACAGCAGTGCTCTTTAAGAAGATATAAATAAGTTATTAGACTGGTCAAATATGTGGTTAATTAAATTCAATGGAAAAAAGTGTAAAACAATGCACATTGGTAATTTGAATTCTCAGTTTAGTTACAACATTTTTTAAAACATGGATTTAAATATCTTGATGTTATCATTTTGAAGCTGTTATACTAGTCAACTATTAGGCAACAGCTTGAATATGCAGCATCTGTATAGAGCCCATATTGTATTAAAGACATTAAGAGACTCGAAAAGGTACAGCGTAGATTGACTAAGCTTGAGTCACTAAAAGGCATCTGGTATGAAGAAAGGAAAAAAATATTAGATTTACTATCCCTAAAAGAAAGGAGAAGAAGGAGCAATTTAAAAGAAATGTTTAAAATATTAAGTTCAACTGAATATATAAGGTTTGAAGACCCTTTACAATTTTACAACAACATGTCCACATATCGTCATAATAAAAGAATTCATTGACAATATACTAAAAAATCATCCAGGTATTATTATTTAACAAATAGAGTGGTCGACGATTGGAATTTATTTTCACAAGATCCAATTGATTCTGCAAGCAAAAACACATTTAAAAATAGGATAGAAAAAATTTTGAACTTTTGATACCAAATTTTATTTAGGAACATTTTATTCTATTTTTAAAATTTTACATTAAACGGCTGTTACAGTCAATACACTACGTAGTTTTGACTCACCAAACTTAAATAGTTTGTACAGCAATTATAATATATTATATATATAATATATAATATGCTAAGTGAAAACATGAAAGAAAGTCACTGATATCTCGTCGCACTATCAAGGATTTTATAATGTCAAACAAGTTAAAGGCTGACAAAATAGTAATAAACAACGAAATGATAACCCAGGAAAAAAAGTTCTAAAGAATTTACATAAATATGGCTTATAGAATTTCTATGGAATTCTATAGAATTTCTATAGAATCTCTTTTAATTTTTTATAGAAATTCCTATAGAACTTTTTTTTCTATTTTTTTTCTATAGAAAAAAAAAGTTATAAGAATTTCTATAGAAATTAATAGACGTTCTATAGAAACGCTATAGGCTATATGTTCCTAAAGTTTATAGAAATTTTACAGAACTTTTTTTCGCTGGAAAAGGCTGTTTGCAGTGCCTCGAGGAAAAAATAAAACTCAATGCGAAAGAAAAAGAAAATAATGTTATAATGCTTTTAGATCAGGAAATTTTGGAACTTAAGGAAAAGCAAAAAATATCAAATGAAGTATGTAAAACATACAATTAGGAATTTATTACATTTACCAAGAAAGCTGGCAAACAGCAGGATATGTCTCAAATGAAACTTCTTCTAACAAAAGGCAATGATCGTAAATAAAAAAGTGAAAAGCACAAAAAAGAAAAAAAGATCTAAATAATTGTATTTTTCTAACATAAAATTCATGTTAGAAAAATACATTTTTTTCAAACCTTTCATTATTTAACAATAATTATTTTTTGGTTTACTCATTTAGATTTTTTATTAGTCTTTTATTGTTAATTATTTTAACTTATTTGTATTTACTCTTTAATTTTTAATACATTGCTCGTTATTAAAAACATATCCAATCTTAATTGTTCCTTTTTTTTTTTGGAATCTCGTTATCTTGTACCCTAAATAGCTCTGACAGGTTTTCATTGCCCGTTGAACATATTTGTTTTAAATATACTCTTTATAATATAAATACAACCTTTATAATATAAATGATAAGCCCTTGGTGGAAGGACCATATAATAGGTCACAAAATTCTCATATGTCAAACATTTTCGAAAACTCCGACATAAGGAGAGCTTAGACTAATTCGGACATTCTCTTGGTTAATTCTCTAAAACAACTGGGGCATTTCCTTACATAGGACATATATTTAATGTTAGGCGCAATATATATTGTTGGACATTGTTGAAATTTACTTCTGCTCATGTGACATAACATTTTAAATATGTTTAGCTCATATAATGTATAAATATTTATACTTTCTAAAATTTGTTTTGGATGTTTTTTGTTTTTTTTAAACTTATTATTCGTGCATGTTATTGTTTTCAATGGAGTGTTTCTAGATCGCTTTATGAAGTACTATTCCTGGTGATATTTGCGTAGTTTAAGTAACTTTGTAGAAAACTGAAATATATTTGAAACTCATAACTGAAATATATTCTAGATGATGTTTATTTAGAAGATTTTTTGATTATTATAGAGCTCCAATACTTTTTGATGTTTTGTTGCCAATATATTTATTCCAGTTTTGTTGCCAATATATTTATTCCAGTTTTGTTGCCAATATATTTATTCCAGTTTTGCTGCCAATATATTTATTCCAGTTTTGTTGCCAATATATTTATTCCAGTTTTGTTGCCAATATATTTATTCCAGTTTTGTTGCCAATATATTTATTCCAGTTAAAATTTTCGTCGATGACTCTTTTCGTCACTCTTTTCGCGACTAATTTCTGTTTTTCAATAATTATTTGGAAAAAAAGATAAAGGATGGAATAAAAAAAACTTTGATTTTTTAGAACTATTAGAGAGTTTGTTTAAAACATATTTATTATATTTTTTAACTCAAAATTTTGTATGAGTAGTTAAGGTATAAAATTTCCATAGTTAAACAAGTTACTTTCGTCAGCAAATATAACTTTATATATGTGAAACTCTCCAGAGATCATTCACATATTTAAGGAAAAAGTATTGGCCCTAGAATTCACCCTTGAGGCACTCAACAAGATATTTAAAATGAACTTTTATATTTAATTTTTTTGTAATATATGGATTGGATGCGTTTTCTTCCATCCACCATATGACTCTTATGATCCACTGTATCAAACGTCTCGGAGAGATCGATAAATGTTTTAAAAAAAGTATTTAATCTATTAAACATTAAGTGCAGTAATAATTTAAACGTATATTCAAACCTTTTTTTTAAATTTAATACATTGACAATGTCCTTTATGTCTAGTTTTTAAATCTTCAGTTTTATAATTTAAGATGATATAAAAAAACTCCACTTGAAATTAGATTAAAATTTTTAGTATTTTATTATAATATTGTAAACACCTGATGCACTGATCAGTATTACACCATACCAAACAAACCACTGAAGGAAACTATCACCATAGCAACAAGTTTATTCTTTAAAGTTTAATCTTATTTATTAACACTTTTTAAAACTCAGTTCAAGAAATTACTTCAGATTTCAACTTCCGGCTCCCATTTTCTATATGATGGAAAACAT